GTTGGGATCTTCCTTCTGGAATGCTCTTCCCGGTAGATGAATTATTATCCTTGATAGAATTAAATGTATTTTTTTAATAGAATTAAATGCATTTTTTTTAATTAAATTAAGGAATGCTAGCTAGTATAATTTATATATACTTAAAAAAATAAAAACCCTCAGCCACTTTGGGACCCACTAAAAATTTCCTAACCAACACTTCTATAATCAATCATCGTGATCTGATCGTTAACCTTATCTTCAGATTGATGTGATTAGTTTTGAGAAAATACGAAATCAGTTTTATAAATATTAATAATTAAAATTTTATTTTTTTATTAATTTATAATTATTTTTTTAAACTCGCACTGATATGTATTTTCTCCATTATTTTTCAGTCATTCGTTGAAATTCAAATATCAGCTCTCACATGGTGGGAAAATTATATTTTGCACTCAAATAAAATTATGCCGTGTTTTAATTCAAAGTTTATTGATTGATAAAAAAAATTATTGGTGTTTTAATTTAAAGTTTACTGATTGATTAAAAAAAAAATTATTGGTTAAAATCTATCTTTTTTGTCTTTTTTAAGAGATAACAAATTATGAAGACCACTTTAATAAAAAAATTATTCTAAAAAATTCATGCTAAAAAAATAACAAATAAAATATAATTGATTCGAATATGTGAATGGTATGTGTAATAATTTTACAGTAATGATACATTCCACTAAAAGTGGTGCTCTAACGTGTTGCCAAGCACTTTAAATAAAAAAAATAAAAAAAACAAGACACAAGCAGTGAGTCCCGTCCACTGCCACATCACTAGTGGTGCTTTTAGAGCACCACTTTTAATGGTCTCAAGCATTATCGTTGATTAAAACATGAATCGTCGATGATTTCTTTCTATCTCTAATGAAGAAGTAATTTTGGAATGTTACATTTTCTTTTTTTTTCTTAGCGTTTTTGTTGATGATCAACATTTTCTGTAGCCATTATTATATCCAAATCTGTAAAATATTTATTGAAAAAAAAAACCCAGCTTTTGCCACCCTCCCATCCCTCCTAATCACTGTAAACTTGTGTCATGTGCAGACTCCTTGTTTACTTGACTCAAATCTTCTTCCTTAATATATATAAACTATATTAAATTTGGGTTGGTAAGCAATGAGACAAAAGTAAATTTGACATTAAACAGTTAATTAATTATATGTTTTAAATTAAATTAACGGCATAAACTATTATAATATTGTACAAAATAAATTTAAAGTTTAATTATGACAAATTCGACAAACTTAGTAATGATATGAAACATGATGGCTTTAATTTAAACATGTTTCAAAAATGTTAGTAGGTGATCAAGGCAGATGTGTTTCAATTCATGAGGGTTTTTCACCAAAATGTTAAGTTGGTGAAGGGGATTAACATTTCCTTTATTGGTTTGATTCCAAAGAATGAGAATAATTCTTGTTTGAATGAGTATAGGCCTATTAGTCTCATAAGTTCTTTATACAAAATTCTTGAAAAAGTTTTATCAAATAGGATCAAGCTTGTTTTGCCAAGGATAATTAATGACTCACAATCAACATTTATAGGGGGAGAAACATCTTGGATGGGGTGTTAATTTCTAATGAGATAGTAGATGGCTGAAGAATATAAAGAGTGGAATTGTACTAAAACTAGACTTTGAAAAAGCATATGACTCAGTTAATTGGAATTTCTTGTTCTCTATGCTGTCTAATTTTGGTTTTGGGAATAAATGGGTTGATTGGATGAAGGAATGTGTAACTTCAGCTAGAATATCTATCTTGGTTAATGGTTCACCAACCTCTAAGTTTAGTCCATGGAGAGTTCTAAGATAAAGTGACCCACTGTCACCATTTCTTTTCAACATTGTGGTTAAGGGTCTCAATATCTTGTCGGTAAGAGCGATACAGATGAGATTAATCGAAAGGACAGCTATTGGTTCAAGTGATCTCAAAATTACTCACTTGCAATTTGTAGATGACACAATTCTATTATATGAAGCTGATTGGGTGGAGATAACCAATATCAAAAGGATTTTGAGATGTTTTGAAGCCTTGTTTGGGCATGGAATCAACTACCATAAGATTGTGGTGTGGGGTTGGGATCACTGAGGAATTAGCTCAAGGTTTTATTGCAAAATTAAATTGCTTACATCAAAGGCTGCCACTAAAGTACTTAGGATTGCCTTTAGGTGCTAGCCCAAGTAGAAGGACTTGGCAGCCAGTGATCAATAAATACAAACAAAAGCTTGCTTTTTTGGAAGAGAAGATTCCTGTCTTTTGCAAGAGGATTGACATTGATAAAATCTATGCTATCTAGTCTACTAATCTACTACCTATCTTTGTTCAAGATACCAGAAGGGGTAGCAAAGGAACTTGATAAGGCACAATCAAACTTCTTATGGGGTGACAATGCGCTTAGAAAAAAAGTCCATTTGTTCAGATGAGAAAAGGTCTTAAAAACCAAAAGTCAAGGAGGATAGGGATTAGAAGGATGAGACTCATGAATGATTGTCTTTTATTGAAATGGTGGTGGTGATTTAGACCTGAAGAAAAATCCCTTTGGAAAGAGGTGATATGAAATAAGTAAAATATGGTAGGAAGGGGTTGATGCCCACTACTTGTAAGAGGCCACAGAAATTCTAAGATTTGGGATGACATAATGGGTGTTATTAGATCCAGACCTGAACTTATTGATTTCTTCAAGAGCAACTCTATTCAGTACTTGGGGATGGGAAGAGATCATAGTTTTGGCTCGGTAAATAGGCTGGCAATGCATGTGTAGAGGGTCCAAAATGAACAATAATAATATCGCTTTGAAAGGCAAAGCTATGTTAATAAGTCAATAATTTGTGTTAACTGGAGAGTGAACAACCAGATGAGAGTAGAACAAGTGATCCAAGAGAAGGAATTGGCAATGCAGTTAAATGGGCAGCGTATCCCCCCAATCCCCAAAATACTCTCTCCCGAGCCTTGGGAATTAAGCCCTACGCTTGTTCTTGATACCAGAATATACCAAGTGGCCAAACAGTGCAGCGACACATATCGCGAGATATTCCGTCCTGAATCACCAAACCTTGGTAGACACATGTCCTTTGACATATACTATTTGTTTGGCACAAAGCCTCAACAAGTGCCACTGTATTATCTGTTTGGCACAAGCCTCAGCATATACCTTTTGGTATGAACCTCAGCAGGTGTCCTAGTTGCTGCAACACCTACCTTCTCAGTTCAATTTCTGAAAACATGTACTCTCAGGACTTATGACCTGCTATTAGCCATACTAGTATCTACCTCAGTGACTCTTTCACCCTTAGTCACTTAACCACAAACTCCCTAGTTTCCTAGGACATGGGTCACAACAAAGGTTGTGCCTCGTACCAAACTCAATGGGGCTTTCTTGGTCCTGCTTATGCAACCAAGTCAAGTCCTTGACCTAGGTATATGGAAAGGGAGTCCCTTACTTTCGGGCTACCCTGTTCCCATCTTCACGAGGTCGCCATGGTATACTGGTATTTTTGGTACTTGCTATCAGTTCCAACCAATAAGCTTTGGGGCTGTTATTAGTGCCAAGCTATATGAGTTTCGGGCCTACTATCAGCCCTTGGCTATTAATGCCTTGGTGCCTACTATCAATGTCAAGTATTTGTACATTATCTTGTATGGGGAAGGCCTATCTTGAAGGCTATTGTGACTTAGAAGGTAGTTGCAGAGGTTGGAATTGCTACGACTCCCTTTCCCTTAGCAAGTGACAACAAGTGACAAGGCGGCATCGTAATAAAAAATGGTGGCGCAGAGGTAGGGTCTCCCTCAGCAAGTGAAGCTCGGCAAGTAGTACCTCAGCAAGTTCCCTTGGTCACTTCTTGGTCTGGGCCATTTGGTCCGAATGGGTCAAATCTGGTTCGGTCTTCTGATTGGCCCATTTTTGAGTTTTGACCCCTATTCATTTAGTGATACTTATTGCCTAATTAAGGCGACTTCAATAATTAAGTCAGCGTTTTAATTTCTCTCTTTCTACAAAAGTGAATGTCATTTTCCTAATAGGAACGGAAAGCATACGACATGATTTTACCCACTACCATTATAAATAGAAGTAATAATAATGAGGACAACAATGATGAATGATGATGAATGATGATGAATTGAAAAGAAGGAAGGGTGTGTGTTTACCTAAATACCCACACTCGTAGTCCATTTGCCATTAACTCTTGGAGAAGGGGAATAATTGTTGATGGACTATCTTCCCAACGTCTGATGACTAGACTGCAATTATTTTGTTAAGTTTCATTTCAGCTAATAATTTCATACTCTTATTGGGCACAAGCAGAGACAGAGAGCCAAACACATAGTAGTACATACCTGCATGGTTCCCAATCATAACTGAGTTTGGTTACATTGGCATGTAGGGCCTCTTGAACATCAGCACGATTCAAATAAGCATACACATAATGATCACTGCATGGATCAAAATTCAACACCTGCAACAAATATTCACCCTTAGAGGTCTATGAAATATGGATAAAGGATATGATAAGATAGGAATACTATAACCTTTAAAGAAAAAAAGAGAAAATCAACCTTAGTTGTAATTTGAAAAAATTATTACATATGGATGGAAAAGTTTATAATTTTAATTATTAATATTGATAAAGTTTATCATCAATTTGTAATTAGTTTTCAAATTTTATCCTTATTTGAAATTTCTCCTAAAAAAATGTTAATTAATAAAAGGTTCAAACTTATGGGGTCATATATTATTTGGTCTAAGGTTTAATATTTTTTGGTGATAAAACACGCGCTGAAATGTTGTCAAAAAAAGTAGTCAGCGTTGGAAAAGTTGCAAGCGGTTGGCAATAGTGGCCGGTTGCTGCAGCTAGTGGCGGTGAGATAGACAAATAGGTGAATAGATAAATGATACATGTACAAACATGTGGCATTTGGATATATATGTGACACATGTACAGATAGATGACATTTGGATATACGACAAATGGGTATCCTTTTGGATAGATCAATGTCCTTTGGAGCTAAAAAGATTTAAGCTTGGACCAATAGGCATAAAAATTACAGAAATAAACGTTTGGCTTGAGTACTATTAAAAAAATAAGATATCAATATGGTTAAGATATGTTCCTAAAATATTTGTTTATATAATTTTTAGTATTATATTATATAGAGTTAATTACACTTAGCAGCTTTATACTTTCAATAAAATCTCATTTTGGTCATTTCAATTTCTTTGTGATAATCAACTTTTTACATTTTAAGTTGAGTTGAAATGTTACTCGTCCATCCATCTATCGTTAAGGAGATTGGAAAAAAATTAAAAATAAAAATCACCAAATAAATATTTTGATGAAAGTGTAAGAATTTAAATGATAAAAGTATAAAAGTATTAATGAGTCGAGAAAAATATCACTTATAACTCACATAATAAGTTCCATAAGCCTTACTAACATTAAATGAAAGAAAAAGTAAGATTACACTTTTATTCAATTTAAAATATAAAAGATTGAACTTTATAATTAAAAATGTAAGAGTACAAAATATAACGAACCCTAGTGTATATAAGCTCAGAAGAAAGGTAGATTTTAAAAATTGGATTGTTTCAAAAATATTTTCTTCTGAAAAATAGTTTTCGACAACAAGCTCTTGGTAAACCAAAGAAAAGGACACCAAACAGACACAACTTCTGTTGCGCAAATGAATTTGTTTTTGGGTTTGGTGTGTACATTTTGAGAAGGTTATCTATATAAAAAAAAATTAGGTTAAAAAAATATTCTTAATTACATGTTCAGATCATGTGTCTTATAAAATTGAACGGCAATTATAGTTTTCAAAATAAATAGTTTAGTATTTTTTCTAAGATAAATATATTTCAACTATTTGATTATAAATGTTCGATTAATCTTTTTTTATTATTATTTTTTTTATACATGAATGCTCTTCTTAATAAATTTGAAATTAACCTTCAAAATAGGTCCACCAATGCCCAATTGTACCTCTTCAACTAGATCACCAATGGTAGGGGAGTTAAACCACCTTAATTTATCAAGCGTCATGTGGTTTCACAACGATGTTTCTATATTCTTAATGAAAGTTATCACAATTCGAAGAAAAATTTGTAAGAAAATACATAAAGCCAAAAGGCTTGTGGGTTGAAGTATTATGATAAAAATAATAATTGTAAAGAGTAATGCTAAGTTTACCATAATGCACCGTTTGTTTTGATAGAAAACACTTTTCAGAAAATACTTTTTGTACTTTTTAGCGTTTGATACGACGGAAAATAATTTTTTTTTTTTTTATGGTTAATAAAAAAACAAGTCTATTTGATCAGAAAATATTTTCTACCTTTAAAAAGCAGAAAACGTTTTCTGAATCAAATTTTTATAAATGCCACCACATTACCACCATTACTATCACCAACACACCACCACCGCCATTACCACCGTCGCCGTTGCCGCCACCTCCACTGCCCTAAACCCATTGCCACTCAGTGCCGGCTTTTGGCACAAGCGGAAGAAGTGGCCGCTTTGGGCCCCCGCAAATTGGTTGGAAAAAAGACTACAAAAAAATTGAAAAAAATATCAAATAAATCTTATTTTTTTTGTTTTACTTGTTCATAAAAAAGAAACCCTAAAAAAAAGTACTGATATTTAAAACTAATTGATGGTTGTTTTCCAAATATATGTATTATTTATAGAATATTATTGATTTTAGTTATTACTTACAATTGTTTATGGGAAAAAGAAATGTTTCAAATTGAAAATTGATTAAATCATACATTCAATGAACTATGTTACAAGAAAAGATTGAATGAGTTTGATTGATAAATTGGCTAAAACAAGCTTGATTAGTAATTTTGCTACTAAAAATGCAAAGTTCAAAATTTTTAAATAAAATTTGAATTACCAACTAATCTGATTTTACCAAAAATGATTAACAAAATCAATCCATATGTGCGTGTATAAGAGCCCTCATATTAGAAGCATGTTTTGTGTCTCAAAAAAAAGCAAAGCCGGCGTTGCCGCCACTATAACCTTCACCACATTACTATCATCACCACCACTATCACCACCACATCACTACTGCTGCACAACTATTGCCACCACCACCCTAACACCTTCACTGCCACTTCTACCTTGCTGTTGCCACCACTACCGCCACTAATGTAACTATTAGTACATTAGTTTCAAAAATACAACTAAACATAAAAAAATATTTTCTAAAATTGTTTTTATGAAAAAAAATTCAAAATTTTTTTAAAAAAATAAATTTCTACTGAAATAACGGAGTGTAAAATAAAATGGCATTGAGTATTCTTTTTTTGAACAACATTGAGTATTCTTTTTTGATCAACAACATTGAGTATTCTTGTAACATTAAAATTGAATAGTAAAATGTATAGAAGAGAGAGAGAGAGAGAGAGACTCACAGAAGCCTTTTTGGGAAATGGAGTGACATTGAAAGAGGTGCATAAAGGAGCATAGATGTTATAGATATCAATATTGGCAATATCTTTGACAGCTTCAGTAATTGCAGTATCGCATTCATTGGACTGAGTGGTGGCATTGGGTGAGAAATCACAGTATTTCTGGATTTCATATGAAGTTTGGTCGGAAATGAGAGCATGGCTTGCAAAGTAATCCACCAGTCCTTTCGTATCTGTCTCATCATTTATTACTGCATTCCCAATCTGCACTTCGTACATTACACACAACACCAATCACCAACCTACTACTACTTTATGTACAATTACACTAATATGCTATTTTTATCATGCAAATTCCAATTCATCATTCCATCAATTTCATCAATTTTTCATTTCTTATATTCGGATTTAAGATTTGCGGAAGAATTTGTATAGGGAAATATTTTATTCACAATTTTTTTTTTTTTTTTCAAATCTTAAATCAAAATATAACTATGTAGACAAATTTTTCGCATTGATTTTGGTTTTACTGAATCTACATGTAAAAATAGCATTTATTGTTTAGATTCATATGAAAAGTGACCCAAAAAAAGGGGTAAAATTTGTGTTATGATATATATATAACAGCTTTCTTTCATGATGTATGATATGTAGTTTTGTCTTCTTCTTCTTCTTCTTCTTCATCTTCTTCTCTTATTTATTATTTATTTTAAAATATAATTACACTCGCTAAAACAATAATGCTACATCCTTAAAAATATTTCGACAATTGTCCTAATATTAAATTAGTAAATTACACTGATCTCCCCTAATGTTATGAAAAAATACAATCAGCACTACAGGTTGGCATAGTAATTGTATTGAGCTCCTTTAAGGTTTTAATTTAGAAAACGTTTAATTTTCTTTTCATTAAAAATTCATTAATCATATGGATAAAAAATGATATTGTCATCTCTTTTACATTCAAATATATATTTTTATCTTATTTGTCATTGTGTTTTTACACTATTTGTATTAGTTTCCGTTCCTTAACCTTACTAAAAGGAATGTCAGTAATGCCAAAACTATGCAACTTACTCTATTGTCTTCAATCTCCAGGAGGGTCATGTGTAATTTACCCTATGAAATTTGTAGATAGGATTCATTTTGAGTATCACCCACACTATACTAGTCACATTTCTAAGATTTATTTTATTTTATTTATTTACTTATTTTTGGATGTCTAGCATTCTATGTTTCTTTCATATAATTATATGTTATTAGCAAGGAACAAATAGTACCACTCACAGGTGGAAGTTGGCAAAGGTCCAGGCTGGTCAGTTTTGTGTGGCCTGAGTGTCTGATTGGACTATGCACGAATTACGTGACAATAGAATTCTGTAGTTTTCCTATTTGGAATAAACAATATTTGTAAGTTTGTTAGATGAAGATACGGAAATATTGTTCAATAATTGTACTCTTGTTCTTGTAATTTGCTAGGTAGAATATGCACTGGCCTATGCTTCTATTCTGTCCATATTAGTCCAACTTCCAATTATTTCTCCATGTGGACAGGACACATGGATGGACCACCCTTGTTTGTCTATCTGTGAGCCGTGTTACATGCACAAAAATATATGCAGAACAAAAATAAAGGTATCAACATCACCTCTTGTTTTTGCTTTATGCACCTAATTAAACATTTTAGAATTGTAATTGCTAGGGACCTAGTTTCAAGTGAGAGAGAGAGAGAGAGAGAGAGAGAGAGAGGGACTTACAATGATCCCTTTGAGGTTGATCAAGGTGTTGTTAGGGTCCTTGTTATAGTGAAGGATAGTATGTGCAAGCTGAGGCACATAATGGCCAGCATAGCTTTCACCAGCAATGTAAAAATCCCTGGTTTTGTACTCAGGAAACCTCTCCAACCAATTCAACAAGAACACATAATTATCTGAAGCTGTTCTTTTGTCACCCCCACTCACATAATCTGATGTTGTATTCGAGTATGAAAACCCTACTCCAGCTGGGGACTCCAAGAACAATACATTTGCAGCTGTAGTAAACACCCCACACTTGAATATATAAGAAAATTTAGATATTTAAACACATGGTTCAAAAAAAAAAATGTATAGAAGAGAGGAAAAAAAATTATCAATGTGCGAGTGTGACATTCATTTTGATATACCTAAAATAAAAATGAAGTGCACATTGATTTTTTTTTATATTTTTTGTACATGTAATTTTTCTGAAAGATGATCATATACCTTTGTTCCATGCAAATCTATTTGTGTAGAGAGTTTTGCCATCACTATGGACACGGAATGGTCCAAGCTCTTGCATTGCTCCATAGGCAAGAGAAGAACAACCTGGGCCTGTGTTCATATCAAGTAGTAACATTAAGCTACCTCATGAGTTCTATTTCAAAGAAATCAGATTCAATGGAGGTGTATTTGAGCAAAATCAAAAGTATTGTTGATCAATTACGTGTTGCTTCGTCCTTTGTGGAAGATGAGGATATTGTTCTTCTTACATTGAATGGATTGCCTTCTGAATATGATGCAGTTAAAGTAGCTATTCGAACTCGTGCAGAGTCCATTTCTATGGAGGATCTCTCTGCTCTACTTTGTTCAGAAGCTATTTACATTGAAGGAAAATTAAAACATAGTTCTGATCTCACTGTTGCTTATGCAACTGTGACAGACTCTCATGCTGCTTCTAATATTTCTAGAGGATTTACCTCTTATCATCACAACAGAGGAGGTTCTTCTCGTAGTGATTCTAGAGGTGCTCAGAGAGGCACTCGATTCTATTCAGGAAGATCATCTCGTGGCAGATCTCAAGGAAGAGGACAATTTGGCATTGTGTGCCAAATCTGTGGTAAAGCTAATCACATAGCTCTTGACTGTTGGCATAGACTAGATACTCAATGTCAGTCTTCACAAGTGTCTCCATCCCAGCAATCAAAGCCATATCAGTCTCACTCTCAGCCATATCAGTCTCAGCAATCAAAGGCATATGCTACCTCTTTAACTGAGGACAATGGTTCTTGTTCTCCCTGGTTTTTGGACTCAGCTGCTTCTGATCATATCACTAATGATCTTCATCAACTTAACTCCATTCAACCTTACACTGCTGGTAATCAAGTCACTGTTGGTAATGGCTCTTCCCTTCCTATCACTCATACAGGTCAAGGTATACTACCTACTCCTCACCATTCTTTCAAACTAAACAAAGTTTTGCATGTTCCTTCTATTAACTCTAATCTTGTCTCTGTGCATCACTTGGCTAAAGATAATAACTGCTCTATCACATTTGATCATTCTTCTTTTACTATTCAGGACAAGCTTTCCAAGGCCATCCTCCATAAAGGTTTTTATGCCAATGGACTGTATCAATTCCACACTTCAACCACAGATTCCTCACATGCCTACAGCACTCCAACCACTACTGATTCCTTACATGCCTCCAGTAGTTCAGTTACTTCTGTTGCTTCTACTGACATTTGGCATCAGAGATTAGGCCATCCTTCTACTCTTAAGTTTCATTTGCTTAAGCACAAATTACCTTTGTCTGTAGCTTCCAATAAAAGTACCTTTTCTTGTGTACATTGCTCTGTAGCCAAATGTCATAGGCTACCTTTTACATTGTCTAATTCCACTGTAAATAATCCACTTGCTTTGATTCACAGTGATGTATGGGGTCCCTTTAATAAATCTGCTTCTCCTTACAAATACTATGTGTTGTTCATTGATGATTTTACCAGATTCACTTGGCTTTATCCTCTTGTTTATAAAAGTGAAGTGTGTGCCAAATTTATGGAATTCAAAGCTTTTGTGGAAAAACAGTTTGGTTTTCCTCTCAAAATTCTTCGTAGTGATGGAGGTGGTGAATACAAGAATCATCCTCTTCAACATTATCTTCACACTCATGGCATTCATCATCAGTTTTCCTGTCCACATACTCCCTCTCAAAATGGAGTGGCTGAGAGGAAGCACTTACATCTCACTGAAACTGCTATTTCTCTTCTTCATCAGTCCTCTATGCCTCTTCTTTATTGGTTTGATGCCATCGCTGCTGCCATCTATTTGATCAATCGTTTACCTAGTATTTCTCTTAATAATTGCTCTCCTTTTGAGTTGTTGTATCATACTTCTCCTGATTACTCTCTACTAAAAGTCTTCGGTTGTCTTTGCTTCCCCTGGCTTAAACCTTATGCTTCTCATAAGTTGGCACCTAAGTCGACTCCTTGTGTTTTTCTAGGTTATCATCCTAGTGTTAAGGGCTATAGATGTTTAGATCCTCAGACTGGTCACATTCATTTATCTAGACATGTTACTTTTCATGAACATGAGTTTCCTTTTTCCTCTTCTACTTTTGTTTCTTCTGTTTCTTCTCTTCCTCTTTTACAGGATTTCTTTTGGTCACCCTCTCCTCAGCATAGTTATTCTCAGTCTGCTCTGGCTTCAAAGTCTAGTGTTCAGCCTATATCTACCCAGCCACAGTCTATATCTGCCCAGGCTCAGTTCTCTTCCCAGCCAGCATCTCTATCTATCCAACCACAGTCCTCTTCACAACCCCAGTCTTCTGATCTGGCACCTCCTGCCCAGTTTGCACAGTCTATATCTGCACAGCCTTCCTCTGCCTTGTCTCCTTCTGATCCTTCCCCTCCATCCATTCCTATTAATTCTATTTCTGTTGTTTTACTTCTTCCTCCTCCTGCTGCTATCAATTCTCATCATATGCAAACCCGATCCAAATCTCATTTTACTTGTTTCTCTTCTACTTTCACTTCTCCTGCTGGCTCCTCTCCTTCTCCTGATGTTGAGCCCCTGTCTTATCAATCTGCTCTTGACTCTCTAGTCTGGTTCCAAGCCATGTTTGATGAATATGCTGCTTTTCAACATCAAGGCACATGGTCTCTTATTTCTCTACCCCTTTCTAAGCAAGCTATAGGGTGTAAATGGGTCTTCAAAGTTAAAAAGAATTCTGATGGCTCAGTTGCTCGGCACAAAGCCCGACTTGTGGCTAAGGGTTTTCATCAGCAACATGGTATTGACTTTTATGATACCTTTAGCCCTGTGGCCAAGCAACCCACAATTCACATTTTCATCTCTTTAGCTCTTCATCATCATTGGCCTCTAAAACAACTTGACATATCTAATGCCTTTTTACATGGCAAGTTGGATGAAGACGTATACATGGAACAGCCTCCTGGTTTTGTGGATCCTTCTCAGCCTACCCTTGTTTGCAAACTTCACAAGGCTCTTTATGGTTTGAAACAGGCTCCTCGGACCTGGTACTCTACTTTCTCCTCCTTTTTTCTCTCTAAAGGTTTTCTTTAGAGTCGTTGTGATTCTTCTCTCTTCATTCATTCTACCTCTTCTTCCATTACCTTTCTTCTTATATATGTCGATGACATTCTTCTTACTGGTTCTGATCAGTCCTACCTTCATTCCTTATTAACTCAAATGCACAATGTTTTTTCCATGAAAGAATTAGAGGATATTTCCTATTTCTTAGGTATTTCTGTTCAGTCCACTGCTCAAGGCTTCTTTCTCTCCCAGCAGAAATATGCCTTGGAGCTTCTTCTTAAAGCTGGCATGACTACCTGCAAGGCTTGTGCTACATCTACATCAGTTAAACCTTCTCTTACTGCTGCTAATTCTCTCCCATTCTCCCAACCTTTTCTCTATCGCAGCCTTGTAGGTGCTCTTCAGTATCTTACTATAACTCGTCCTGAGCTCTCTTATGCTGTCAACCAAGCCTGCCAACATATGCATGCCCCTACTATGGCACATTTCTCCGCTGTTAAACGTATCTTACGATACATTAAAGGCTCCATTTCTCATGGTCTTCTATTTGCTCCTGGTTCTTTTCATCTCACAGCCTACTCTGACTCTAATTGGGCTGGGGATGCCACCGACAGACGTTCCACCTCTGGTTACTGTGTGTTCTTAGGTTCTAATCTCATCTCTTGGGCCTCCAAGAAATAGTCCACTGCGTCTCGCTCCTCAACCGAGGCTGAATATCGGTCCTTAGCACACACTGCTACAGAACTCACTTGGTTACAAATGCTTCTTGTTGATTTTCACATTCCTCAACCATCTCCACCAGTTCTTTAGTGTGACAACATGTCTGCCTTGTCCTTGGCTGCTAATCCGGTCTTTCACAGCCGCTCTAAACACATTGAAGTGGACTGTCATTTCATTCGTGAAAAGGTTGCTCGTCGTCAATTCTGTCTCAAATATGTTCCTTCTTTGGATCAATTGGTTGACATCTTCACCAAATCTCTGTCCACTGCCAGATTTTCTTTTCTCACTTCCAAGCTTCGTGTTGGTCTTCCCCCTCTCAGCTTGAGGGGGCCTGATAAGGAAGAGGTCCAAGAGGTTCATTCAGTGTAATCATTCAGTGTAATGTGCTGTTCATCAAGTGTCATGTGTTGCAGCTGTAGACAACATTCTTTAACAGATTGTAACTGATTTAGTTAGATTGTAACAGCTTTAGTTAGTTACTTAGTTACATGATGTGTAGTTAGTTAGAAGTGTGGTTAGGTTAATTAGTTTGTTAGTTTGTTACCTGTACTGCTATATAAATATGACTTGTAATCTCTTATAATATTCAATGAAGATATCTTAGATTTTATTTTACCTTTCGTCAATTTTCACAAAACACTTAATTTTCTTTTTATTGAAAATTCGTTAATCATATAAATAAAAAATGATATTGTTATATGTTTTACATTCAAATATATATTTTATCTTGTTTATTATTGTGTTTTTACACTATTTGCATTAGTTTTGGTTCCTTTACTTTACTGAAAGGAATGTCAGCGTAATAATGCCACAACTATGCAACTTACTATATTTTCTTCAACCTCAAGGACGATCATGTGTAATTTACCCTATGAAATATGTAGATAGGATTCGTTTTGAGTATCACCCACACTATACTACTCACATTTCTAAGATTTATTTTATTTTATTTATTTACTTATTTTTTGATTTCTAGCATTCTATGCTTCTTTCATATAATTATATGTTATGAGCAAGGAACAATAAGCACCACTCACAGGTGGAAGTTGGCAAAGGTCCAGGCTGGTCAGTTTTGCCTGGCCTGAGTGCCTGATTGGACTATGCACCAATTATGTGACAATAGAATTCTATAGTTTTCCTGTTTGGAATAAACAATATTTGTAAATTTGTTAAATATTGTTCAATAATTGTACTCTCGTTCTTGTAATTGGCTAGGAAGAATATGCACTGGCCTATGCTTCTATTCTATCCACATTAGTCCAACTTCCAATGTGGACAAAACACATGGATGGACCACCCATGTTTGTCTATCTCTGAGCCGTGTTACATGCACAAAAATATACGCAGAACAAAAATAAAGGTATCAACATCACCTCTTAGTTTTGCTTTATTCACCTAATTAAACATTTTAGAATTGTAATTGCTAGGGACCTAGTTTCAAGTGAGAGAGAGAGGGACTTACAATGATCCCTTTGAGGTTGATAAAGGTGTTGTTAGGGCCCTTGTTATAGTGAAGGATAGTATGTGCAAGCTGAGGCACATAATGGCCAGCATAGCTTTCACCAGCAATGTAAAAATCCCTGGTTTTGTACTCAGGAAACCTCTCCAACCAATTCAACAAGAACACATAATTATCTGAAGCTGTTCTTTTGTCACCCCCACTCACATAATCTGATGTTGTATTCGAGTATGAAAACCCTACTCCAGCTGGGGACTCCAAGAACAATACATTTGCAGCTGTATGTAAACACCCCACACTCGAATATATAAGAAAATTTAGATATTCAAAACACATGGTTCTCAGAAAAAATTAAAAAAAATAATTAAAAATTAAAAATGCATAGACGAGGAAAAAAAAAAAAAAAATCAATGTTCGAGTGTGACATTCATTTTGAGTATACCTAAAATAAAAATGAAGTGCACATTGATTTTTCTTTATATTTTTTGTACATGTAATTTTTCTGAAATATGATAATATACCTTTGTTCCATGCAAATCTATTTCTGTAGAGAGTTTTGCCATCACTATGGACACGGAATGGTCCAAGCTCTTGCATTGCTCCATAGGCAAGAGAAGAACAACCTGGGCCTGTGTTCATATCAAGTAGTAACATTAAGCTACCTCATTTTATTAACTTTTTAGGGGGAAAATGTAATGTTGTGATGATTAAATTTTTATACAAAATGTGCATATCATATTATACCTTCCTGATATCTTGCTACATAAATACAATAAACTATTGAAAATTCAAGCAATTATGTCTATCTTTCTTGTCCATGTATTGTACGGCATAGTATATGAATGTGACATGTAAAGTACTATCTCTGGTGATGAGTAAATTTGATATGAAAATTAATGAGAAGAAGGGTTATGTAATTAATACCCACTAGAAAAATGCAATGTTTTAATTGATGAGGAAATAATTTTATTTATCTGAAATTCTTATATAATAACAGTAGTGACATCAATAATACATCAGCACATGCCGATCAAAAAAAATAATACATCAGCACATGTAATACAAATTTTGAAGCATGGGATTTAATAAGAGAAGTGCTTGTGGGTGGGTGTAGTCCCACTTCTATTTTTGGTGTTTAGTCACAAATTTGCAATACAAATGTCCCAATTAACATCGGTTGCCATCAACTATATGCACATGATGATGATGATGATGATGAGTTGAGCCAGCTGTGTGTTTGATTAGTACAACTAATGCATTGACTAATCTAACAAATGGGTGGGTGACTCTGTCTACCATTGTAGCTATTAGCATATGTGTGTGTTGGATTTGGCTCATTTCTTTTCAGTCGTAATTTATACTCATTTCTTTTCAGTCGGAATTTATACGTCTCAACTTCATAAATATAGGTGATAATTGACTCTAAAAGACTCATATAATCCTCTTTCTTTTTTCTTTTTTTTTTTTTAATTTGGGATATTACACCCAAGGCCCTTCAACTATTGGCACATATGTGTGTGGTGGATTTGGCTCATTTCCTTTTCAGTCGGAATCTATACGTCTCAACTTCATAAATATAGGTGATAATTGACCTTGAAAGACTCATATAACTATTTTTTTTTTTTAAATTTGGGATATTACACCAAGACCCTTCAACTATATTAGTAAATATTATTTTATTTTCTCATCAATTAATTTACATTTTGACCCCCTCGACTACAAAATGTATCACCTTTACCCTTGCGACTCCCTTCAGACTACCTCTAAAAAGAGTATATTTATACGATTTTCATAATTGATGAAATCAATATAGGGACAGGCTCATATATGAGAGGTAAAATGATATTTACTAATAATTAAGGGGGTATTAGTGTAATTGACCATTTTAATTTTAAGTCTAAATGATTGGAATTTAATGATATATTATAAAAAATACCATCCATACATAAAATTTATTCAAAAAAGAAAAAAAAAATTATAATAATAATGTGACAATGCCATTTTGATAAATATATTGAAATGAGTCCACATGTGTTTCTGTTGGAGTTATCATTGCTATTAACATTAGTGCCTCCATTAAACAGCAATGGTGTATATAAAATTGTAAAAAAATTAATTAATAAGAAAAATTAATTACATGATCCAAATTCTACATACGTGTTATTCTATACAACTTAAAAGAATTTTAGGTTGACCTCATATTGGAGTTATCATTGCTATTAACATTAGTGCCTCCATTAAACAACAATGGTGTATATAAAATTGTAAAAAAATTAATTAATAAGAAAAATTAATTACATGATCCAAATTCTTCTTTTGTGTTATTCTATACAACTTAAAACGAATTATAGGTTGACCTCATGGTTGAGTTGCTCCGTTGTCAAGGGTTATACTTGAATTCAAGTTTTATTATTGCAAATGTACTTTTTCTTTTTCCTACTTCCTTTCCTTTTCTCAACCCCCTCCCCCCAAAAAATGGCCACACATCATCATCATCATTATTATTATTATTGTGTGTGTCTATTTTTGTATTTTTTTTTCTATACATATAGGTGCGGCAAATACCACCCCAATTTGTTATTTGACCCCCACTTATACAAAAAGAAAAGATTTATTGCAAATTCATTCATTCATAAAATTTTAATTTTGTTTCATCCCTTACCTGCCAAGCTTTAACTTTAACCCTAGCCTTATGTAAGCCACCACCCACCACCACTAGCTCCAGCCAGCCTCCTTCCACCATCCATAGATCCGGCAACCACCCTTCAAGTCCTCTCCAGCCTTTTGTGTCTCTCTTTCATTCTTCCCAAGGGTAAGAAAAGGCTAGAGGTGACACCCAAGGGTGGGGACGAATTGGAGAGTGGAAACGGACTGTATAGAGAGGTTAGGAAATAGTGGGAGGGGTTGGGAAAGGCAGATAAAAGTGGCCGAAACTGGTAGTGGTGAGTGGTGTTAAGAATTAAGAGGGTGAAATTAATTTTTGTAAGTGTAACAAATTTGTATAAAATTTGAAATTAACAAATGTTATATATAATTTTATTTTTATATTCTTTATTTTTTAGGACTAAATACAAGTGGGTGAGTCTGCCATTATTTTACTTCTAAAAATACGAAAATATAATTAAAAAATGAGATTATAGATGATGATACTATCCGTCCCGGGTGGATGGGTCGTGCTGGTCCAGGCTCTTCAAGTTCCGGTTTGGGGTGGTGATTCCGTCAAATGACCTGCATGCAAGTCCAAAGGGGAACGGGGCAGTCCCCCAGTGAACCCTCAGGCGTGAGAATTAGTAGAGGAAGAAGAAAATGTAGAGAGAGAGATGGAGAGATAAAAAACTTAACCTTTCTCTTGTCTTCCTACTCTTTCTTATATCCTTTGGTAATCATTTCAATGTCCCTCGTGATGTGCCCTCCTTCCGCCGAAAGCCTGTGCCGTAACTTACCTTGTTCAGGGCGAGGGGGCTCTGTTCCGACGGGGAGGTGTTGTCGTAATAAATGCTGTGATGGGATGCATTAATGGTGATGTGTTGTGGTAATAACTCTGCAGATCTTTGTCTGCTGATGTGGCCCGTGTTCCACCTGCCATACTCCCGAATGCCATTGGCCCCCCATGTCTAGATGGCCTCCAGTTGTCCTGGGCTTTGCCAACTGGGTTATGCTATTGGTCCTAAGCAATGGGTTCGGGGTGGTTTGCTGTGAGCCGTATGCCTCGTGGGCCTACCCATGTCAGTAGTCCCTCATTTCCGAGTGCAGCTTTAGTCCAACGAAGGGAATAGTAATAAGGAAGGGAAGTTCGAACCGAGTGGAGAGGTCGACTGGGAGCCGTGCCGATCGCAAGGGTGACTGAGCGGGAGAAGTCGACCAAGAGGCGTGCCGACCGCGAGGGTGGTCGAGCGGGAGGGGTCGTCCGAGAGGCGTGCCGACCGCGAGGGTGGCCGAGCGGGAGGGGTCGTCCGAGAGGCGTGCCGACCGCGAGGGTGGCCGAGCGGGAGGGGTCGTCCGAGAGGTGTGCCGACCACGAGAGTGGCCGAGCGGGAGGGGTCGAACGTGAGGCGTGCTGACCGCGAGGGTGGCCGAGCGGGAGGGGTCGACCGTGAGGCGTGCCGACCGCGAGGGTGGCCGAGCGGGGGGGGCGACCGAGAGGCGTGCCGACCAGGACGGCGCGGGGCTCAAAAAGAGAGGGGGAGGGTGGGGCCATGTGATGATGTGAAATGGAAAGGATAGGGTAAGGGGAGGGGACAGTGCATCGTGGCCATGCACGTGGTAATATCGTGGGGGAAGTGAAGCGTTGGAGCAGAAATGAAACGATAGGTCACGAGGGGGGTTTTGAAAAGGCGGTTTTGGCAGTTGATTTGAAAGTTTTGAAACGGGCGAGAATTAATGTGGATCCATGGAATACGGGTAAACCGTGGGTTGTTGGTATAATGCGTTTCAACTACCTGTGTACAAAAACTCAAAATATCCAAGTGTTAATTCCTTCACTACGTACGACACACCTGTGTAGCACTCTCTCAACTCCCCTGCTCTTGCGTCAGAAGTGATTTGCAAGCAAACCCTAGAAATGGCACAAGAAGAAGTAGTGAATGTGAGGGTGGACCTGCTGGGGGATGATGATGCGGAGGAGTTAGCAGCGCGATACAGGACGGAGACACGGGTGGTGGGGGCGGAGGTGGGTGAATCGCAGGCGTCGGCCCTGATATTGGCTCCAAAGCCACTAAGCCAGGTGGAGCCAGATCAGTGGCACACGAAGGCGGACAGATCCACACTCACAGCGGCGGATTTGGAGGTTATCAGGGAACGATACCAGATTCCGGTGGAGGTAGAGTTACTGCTGCCAACATCAAGGGAAAAGCCATCTACCGCGAGGCCAGGGGAGTTTTCCCCGTACGAGGAGGCGTTAAAAGGTGGGCTGAGGTTGCAACTGCCTCAAGTGGTGGTTGACGTGCTGAATCGCCTGGAGGTAGCGCTGGGGCAATTGATGCCCAATGCATGGAAGATTCTGTTAGCCTGTGCGAGTGCGTGGCCTAAGGCGAATGGGGGGAAGGCCATGACGGTAGACGAGTTCTTTTCGTGTTACAAGGCGTCGGGGCAGCAGGAAACTTGGGTCACCCTACAGGCGGTGATGGGGAGGGGATTGGTGGCGGGGCTGCCTACGTCGATCAAGGGGTGGCGGCCACGGTGGTTCTACGTGTCTGCTACTGAGGGAGTGGGGGTGCGCACCATCTGGAAGGTGCCTACCATTTCGATGGAGTCGAGACTGGGGGCGGTGGCGGAAGAGATGGTGAAGAGAGTGAAGGAATGGAAAGAGAGAGAGAAGGCCAAATGGGATGAGCTTGTCCAACCGTCTGCATTGTTTGAGGCGGGGCTGGGACCGCAGCCGAAGGGCGGAGACCTTGGCCGGGCAGAATTGGAGGCGAGGAAAAAAGCTCAGGAGGTGAAGGATCGGGCCGTTCTGGCCAAGGCCACGAAGTTGAAGGAAGCGCAAAGGGACCGACCGCCTCAACCGATCGCCCGGGAGAGAATCCGACCGCGCCCAAGGCCGTTGGGGGAAAAAGACTTAAGTAGTTTTGAGCCGCGGCCGCCTCCTGTAGACCCTGTAAAAGAGCAGGCTAGAAGAGAGGGGGAGGCT